GGGGGAGAAAAAAAAAGCCATGCCCTTTAGAAGGCCAATCCTGCATGCTATTGACCTACTCTCTCTTGCAGTCTGTTTTGGATCTTTTTAGCTGATGAGACTGGTGGGAGGTGACAGAGGAGAAATAACAATAGTAAGATTCAGCCAGAGTCAACCAGAGCATGAGCATGGCCTTTTCAAATTATAAAGATAAATAACTCTCTAAGCAGCATTCCGGGGAGTTTGTTTCCAGTAAAGTGAATCTGTGGAGAAGGAAAAAATAGTCACATTAACCTCTGACACAGCTTTCCAGGCAAAAGCTTTCATAATTAAGGCCCGATATTGTGATGGCAGGAAGAAGCCCTGTCGAATGGGCCAGGTTGCCCTATATAGTCAAAAGAGGGTAAGGAAACCAATAGACTAGGAAGGTATCTCTATCATTAACAATCACTCCCTGGCAGTCCGGAAACTGGAGGAGTGGGCTGATGTGTCCCCAAGTCTACTGAGTTGAAAGGCTGTAGAAAATGCTAAGTGCAAAATTTCTGCTTCATTCTGTAAGGTCAGAGATGGAGAATTAACACAATGTACCAAGCAATCTTACTTTGAATCCAGGGATCTCTGTGTTGAAAAAGCTTCCAGAACTTTTCAGCTAGCAGAAAACATCAATGGGTTAATAAATAATAGTAGAATTTGGAGATGAAAGAATTCTTCTCCAAAAGAATGTATTTTATTTGGGTTAAGAATTTTGCCCCACTGTAAACATTCTATAGGACCTTTCTCTATGCTGAAGCATGATAAAGCTTGTAAAAGAACTCAAAGGACTAATCATTTGTCTCTACATGGAAATTCTGGGAGACTTCCACAAATTTGTGGCATACAGCCTTTTAACATGTTAAAAATATTTTCAAAACCTTCATTGTATATTGTGATTAATCTTTATTGTCAACTTGACACGATTTAGGATTACCATGAAAACACAAGTCTCTCTCTCTCTCTCTCTCTCTCTCTCTCTCTCTCTCTCTCTCTCTC